TACCTTTGGCTCCAGCCAGTTCTTTGGCATGGGCTTCAATTCGCTCCACTCTTCTGGCCAAGCCTGCAACAGTTACTCCGTACTTCACCAATCCTTCCACTATGGCTTTGCCAATTCCTGAGGAGGCTCCAGTCACTACAGCGACTTTTCCGGCAAATCGGTCTAATGATAGAGAATACGACATTTTTTCGCAGCTGAACAACCTGATTCGCCCGAGTACAAAACTGTTCTGCGGAGAATTTGTCTAGCATTTATTAAAATATTAAACAGCACGAAAATAACCAGTGGCGGTACACCTGTAATTAAAGCTTGCTCGTTGTCCATGGGGGTATTAGATAAAACATGTTTATTCCCCAACGCAAGCCGCTGAATCGACCTTGTAGTCTAGCGAAGCTTCTCTGGGCCATAGCCACTTTAGAGGATATTTATCAACATTGACAACGCGATTGTAGGAACTTTTTCATCGCATATACACCGGGCGATAAAACCGAATATCGCTAACTCATTGTTCGGTTGTTTGCAATCAAAGGAAAGTATTTAATCGCACCCTAAAACACACATTTGCAAAGCTTTCAATCGGTCAAGTTCTTGACCATCAAGTGCACTGGACTGAGCGCAGCACCTCTGAAGATGCAAGCCAGTCGTGTTGGCAAAACGTCTCAATTTTTGTTACTGGGAAAGCTGTTCAAGTCTAGGGAGTTTAAGGACTTGGTGGTCCATTTAATGGAACGACATTAACAATTTTACAAATATTTTTAATGTCTAACAACCAATAAAAAGATTCTTGAGGGACAATAGGAAGCTCCTGAACATTAACGGATTCTACGTTGCTAAAACCTAAAACGCCCTCGAGAATATTGATTTTCTCGATACATTTATTTGCGGTCTTCGCTTCAATTCCTCAGGTAAAACACTTTTAGAGTGAACTCTTTATGGACAGTTTTTCCCTGATGATTTCCAATTTAATTCCTTTTATTGCGGAATTTACTGGCGGGATACGCACTCGTTCCCAGTTCCCTTGTTGCTGTTGATCATTAGCTGTTATTCTATATACTTTAACAATACGACATGATTTTTTCTACAAGCTACAATAATCAGTGGCGATTTGCTTCCCATTAACTCACATTTTCTGGTTGCTGCTTAAATCCTCTGGTCAACAAGGTAGTCAAAAATTCTTCGCTTGTTTGGTATAGAAAGTTACAATGTACCAGATAAAACTATGATTCTTCTCCAAGACGAGCCACTGAGTCGACTTTGTTATCTAGTGGTCAATGTTTTGTTTGTGTTCATGCAATATTCGAACACGGGGGTTGCGAGTTAACGCAACAGCAAGCAAATATTTCCCACAACAAACGCGTTGTTTCTTAGAAACAAAAAACCCATTTGGAAAACTCACTACTCACTAAACGGCCAATTGGAAAACAAAATTATTTGCTAATACTTCGCACTACCACTATCCGATAACTATTGATCACATGTTGACCTGTAGATGGTGTAATTATTGGGGCTTAGCAGTAGTGGAAAGTGATGTCGGGTCAGTCCTTCACTATCAAAAACTATCTGCAATTGATAAATCCCTATGTATAGTCATTTAGATATGGCGCATTCTGGGCGTTAACTAATAGATTGTTATCAAGACATTTCCAAAGTCCGATTCCTTCCAACAAAGAAAGACCTCCTTTATACGGTTAAACGAAGGCTTACCTCTATAAATGGAAACACGCTGTGCTGCTTTCTGGCTAGAAAGTACTTGTCTACGTCGTAATGCAACTTGTATCGGCCAGATGAGAAGGTGGGCTCTTTGAAGAAGCTGGAACAGCGGCCCTTGTTGTCGGTCAAACCTTCATTAATGTAAGTCCATCGGCCTTCCACTAATTTGTACAAACTGACAGTCAATCCGGGCACCGGACTACCTTTAGTGGTGTCTATCACGTTGGTTGATATTGGAATGGGGTTCTGATTATTCTCAGCCTAAAAATTAACACCCAGAGTGAACATCCAGAGAGCCATACGGAAGGCGTTAGTTCTAACCATGATCGATTGCTGTTCCTTTGACTCGGAAGAAAAATCCTCGCCTTCTTCAAATTCATCCATCTCAAGTTCGTTGGTCATGTCAGGTTCGGCCGCGTCTGTTTCGGACTGAAAGTAAAGAGTTATTAACCCCTTGACCGTTCGCTCGTTTTATGCGATATTGTATATAAATCGCATTACGAAATAGTTTCAAAATTACGCCCTAATTAGCCATTCACCTGAGATGTATATATCAGTTGGGGTTGCATTAGTTCTTCGCTATTATCGTCCCCAGTAATCAGGTTCTCCTCATTAACTATTACAGTTTGTACATTGTTGGAATCCATGTCCACCGAGAATTTGTTCTGAAAGCCACTGTGTGATTGTTTGCTAAGGGGCGAAAACTGCACAATTACCATATGATGCTGAACGGGATTTCCATGTATTTGAGCCGCTTTCTGATGCCGAATCGTACACGTATGTTTCAGCAAACTGAGCCTATGTGCGTGTAGGGTTTTCGAGCAGTATGTACAGTAGGCTCTTGTTGGTTCGCCCTTTACGCCTTTCAGCCAACCTGCAACCGAAATAGTGTTTTTTTCAATTTGATCTTATCCACAAACGCAGCTAGTAATGCGTAATTTTCCTGTTTAAACTTAACAATATTAGATTATAGATCATCTATTTGATCTCGACCTTTCTTAGTAGTGTTTCTTGCAAAGATGTGTATTTTCCATCAAGCAGAACGCGAAGAAGAAAGAACACCGTTTTATTTTGCATTTCGAAACCTCCCATTTTGCAAATACACCAATGAGTTTATGCGGCATGTCGGTATTCGTGGGTCCAGCTCCCGATAGGCGTAAATTTACAGCAAAAAATACATTTTATGTAGACCCTTTTAGTGTTATGCAATTGTATAGTACGAGCTGGTAAACCATTGGTAAAATCGAGTGCCACCTCCTGATAATGGGTGGTAAATCGGGGAATATTGATGGCCAATAGGACAGAGACTTTTTTAAGGTGGTGCACTTTTCTAAGGCGTTTCCTAAGTCACATGTCCAAGAGAGAAACGCAAAAGGACGATTTGTAAACACATTTTAAGTGGCGCACTTTGTTATCCTAAAGAAAGTAGTAAAATTGCATTTGCACAAGAAACAGTAACAGATCAGGAAATGATCAAGTATAAATATTTGGCCATGGAAGACTGAAAAGTGATTTTCAGACCTACTCAACTATTGAGACTATTGTCAATGCTACCTTTAAAGTCTGGCATCAACTCCCATGCAGGCCTATAAGTTTGTCGGTAATACTTTGAGTATTTTCCCTTAACCGCGGTGTGAAACTGATTTTGGCTGTATGAATTGGAGGCTATTTCCACATTGTTTTCCGAGGAATTTCCCTCATTTTCCACCAGTTCCGAATCCATGTCCACATCACCACCCAGTTTGATCAAACGGAAAGGAATCACGTTCAAGTGCCTCCCGACTTCGACCTCTTGAATTTCTTCAGTTTCCAGACCTTCATCACATTCATCATCGTCAATTAGTTGCGATATTTGATTTTCGTTTTCCATTCCCGCGCTCAGAGGAAATTACCAAAAACCACTAACAAAAATTCCTAGATGAGCACAAAATGGCTTTCAGAGAAGTCTTTTGTTGACGCTTCCGTTCCATCAATGATGGAGATTTTCATTCGTAGCCCAATATTCGGCAACAAGGCGGACTGTTTTTCAATTATTTGAATATTTTTTCTAATTTATTGAGCCCCGCAAAACTCAGGCTCCAGCTGTATCTGTTTAGGAAAAATTAACCAGAATTTATGGCCAATTTTTGTTCAACGCATTTCTTCAGGGTCTCTTAGTAGGAGCCAGTCCTCAGCCTCCATCAGACATGATCTTGACTCTGCCTTCATTACTCAGTTTATCAACTCGGGTTTTTGAGGTTATGTAATGTTGCATGTTGCACTTTCAGACGAATGTTTTAAATCGAATTAACAACATTTCCCTTAGTAAACAGCCCTCAGCATGAAGCTTCTTACCCATAATATGCTTACATCCAAGTGCATTCGAGGTGTCAGCGTGGGTTACCCTTTGATTATTAACGTAAGTATGGGGCCAACTTTCGAGTTTAAAATATGAATAATCTGTCTCCACACTTGCTACTCTGATGGATCAAGCACGAAACTGACCCTACAGTAAGCTAAAATCAGTTTTCCAATTGTTCCAGGCCACAGAGGTAAAAGTGAATCAAACGCTTTTCAATTCGGAATTCGTCTCCAAACTGATACCAAAAGTGGACTGGCCGGTGCTGTACAATGCAGCGGAAAGCATCGGACACTCGGAAGATTTGCCCAAAGAAGCCCCCAATGACTTCGAACAGAACGAGGAGTTTTTAAAGAAGGCCCACAGGGCTCTAGTGGAAATAGAGGTGATTAGTGGGAACTTGGTGTGTCCGGAAAGTGGCAGGAAATTTCCTATTAGTAACGGCATTCCCAACATGCTGCTGAATGAGGATGAATTCTAAATCAAGCCGGTTACAAAGTGATCTGTGTTGTTAATTGATTAATAGTGGACTGAACATTGAAAGGACCCTTGACTAGATTTAGTTATTAGTCTTAACACAGTTGTAACTTTGAGTTTTAATCTTGTATGTAGGTATGATGGTACCTAATCTATAAATTGATTGAAATTGAAGAGAAAAGTGTTATAATTGGGAGGAGGCACGGGAAAGGCTTCGCAATGTATAAGGGGAGTCTAAGCTCTAAACTCCATTTCCCTTCGGGTCAGGGGTTACTACACTTTGTTGACTTTGTTTTTAACTAGGTATTTATCTGCCCTCAATGAATTATTCCAGATTTTAATTGATCCCATCAGCTTAACTTTAAAGAGATCAAGACTATCTAATAATAAGTTTGCACTGATTAATTGTAGTAAACCCATAAAAGTACACAGAAATATTTTTCTTATCAGCAATTGGCATTCAATTTGTGTGTTTGTGTTTATTTAAAAGGATCAATGACAATTTCCCCGTAAACTAAGACACAAACTACATAATTTGCACGAACCCAGGCAATTTTGCGCAATATTTCCAAATAGAACGTAAACTTGCAATCAGCCACGTGCTCACGTTTTTGAACCGGGAATTTGCAGCTTATCGAATGGATGCGTGAGTTGTGTCTCGAACGCATTTGTTCAGCTTTGCCAAACTTGCGGTTGGTTTGTCCGAAAAACCGTTACAGACCACATGAGAAGGTGATTTAAATTGAAGAGAACTACATCAGGGAGCTGGAAATGTGTCAAATGGGGCTATTTGTGGTGTGGCTCGACTGAGATTCTAATAAATAAACGCAATTTACTTAGAAAATGCCAAATCGACACTAAAAACGTCCTTTTCATATCGGTTTATTGAAACGAATCTCACCAGAAAGCTGGTTAATTCTGCGTTCCATTCGTCTAAGTATTTCCATGCTGAAATTTCTTCAAAAAGGCTCCTAGTAGGCGTTTGGTCAGTTTCCTGTCACTTGACAGCAAACGTCAAACAGTTCAGACGTCGTCAGACTGAAAAATTGCGTTTTTGTGGTAAAAATCGCACTCCCGACCGAGAAAATGCTACGAAAACGCGCGGAAAATCACCTCCGTCACAAAAATCATCCATATTCCTCAGAAAAACGAAAAAATGTGGCACTTTTTTCGAAATTTGGTCGGAGCAAAGCGCGCACAGTCCATCCCGTTCACTCTTAAACAATGACTGCTTAAATGTCATCTGAACCTCCAGGAGTTTGACGAATTGAACTTGTCAAAGCATTTTATTGATTGATTTTAAATAAAACACTAATAATACTAACTAAACATTTTTATTTTAAATATATAATACATTTCTTTGTTTTGGCAAGTTGGCCATAGTTTGCATGCTCGCAGTTCCACCACACTCGAAGGCGGGGGAAAAGAAGCACACTATTGGTGGTTCTGAAGCCTTCTGAGCCTGAGCTAAAGCTAGAAAATACCGGGGACATCAACTTGTTGCTGTAATATCTAAGCTAAGAATGTTTTGTTCCAAATGATTTGTCAGCTTTAAGCGAAATAAATTGTTTAAAAAAAACCTTTTCTTCCATGGTTTTTCCATTTTCACAGTCGCTCAAGCTATCATTTTGGTTTCGAGGATCTTTGGGAGCTTTATGCAGCGCATGTGGGCTCTACCCGGAAATTTCGTTACCAACTTATGTTGGAAATTGGGACGATTATCAAGGACTGTTTCAAACATCTGTCGATTTTTCGTAGATTTTTTTGCGGAAATTGAAGCTTTCTGTACATTTAAAGTGAGATTTTGCCGTCTCAATAAAGTGAATACCGCGCATTAAGCCGGTATAGTTTCAACAAAATTGATTTTTGAAAATTATTTTTCTGCGCAACTGACTTCGCTAAAAAGCGTGGAAAGTTTTGCTTCAAACACTTGATAGCCAATATTTCCCAGATTTCTTGCGAAAAGTCACAGTCTCAGGGCATATAAAGTGAAGTTTAGGCGTTTCAAAGGCGTTGCAGGCACCTTTCAGTCTTGGCTAGTTTAAGAGAAATTAATTTTTGAAGGCGCCCTTGCGCAACTGAGGCTCTCGGTAGGGCGCCTGGTAAGTGTTACTTCAAATACCAGCCACTCTTTCCTAGAATTTTTTAGAATAATAAAACTTTCAGACCCTTGAGAACGAAGTTCTCCCTCTTCAATGAAGTTTCAAGCGCCTTCCCATCTGGCCTAGTTTTTTTAGAATTAATTTTTCAACTTTCACTCAGCTGCGAATAGCGTTGGGGCGCGGCATTTTTGGTTGAAACGGCTGCCAATATTTTCCAGATTTTTTTGAAAAAATGCAACTTCCAGGACGGTGAAAGGGAAGTTCTGCGTTTCCAGTGAACTCACCAGCTCATCTCTATCTAGTCCCATTCTAGACTATTTTTTGAAAAAAAACTTATCTTAAATGGCGCATTATTCTGCCAATATTCTGCAGTTTTTCTTAACTCTTATCCCAAGTGACCGAAAGTTTGGTATTTCCAACAGACTTCGAAGCGCGTTTCAATCTAGCCCAGATTTTGCAAAACTAATTTTTGAAGCAACCCATACCAGGTACCTGAGGCGTTGCTTTAGAGCAAGTGTCATGCATTGATTCAAGCAAACGCTAATGTTCCCCAAATTTTTGGCGAAAAGCCACACTTTTATGTGGAGCGAAAGTTTTTCTTTTCGGTGGTGCTTCAAACACTTTTCGGTCTAGCTTAGTTTTGGTGCAATAAATTTTTCAAAAAAAAAACCCTTGCAGTGAAAAATCGCGTTAAACCGCAAAAAGTGTTGTTTGAAAAGCATGCGAAACTTGCCAGTGCTTTTGAGAAAACAGAAGCTTCCAGAACATTAGAGCGACAATTTGCTTTTTCACTGGCATTTCAAGCGCGTTGAAATCTGGATTAGATTTTGCTAAATTAATTTTTGAACAAACGCCTTCCGAACTGGGAAAGGCGTTGAGACGAGCGTTGTTTCAATAGCATGCCACTATTTTCCAGCTTTTTTTCAATAAATGACAATTTCAGAAGATTTGAAGCAGAGTTTCACCTGTTCAGTGGTGGCAAAAGCGCTCTTCAGTGAAGCTTAGTTTTTGCAAAATTCACTAATTTCACTTTTGAATACGCCTTTGCGCGAAAAAGCGCGTCGAGGCGCGTGCAGGTGTTACTTCAAATACCTGCCCCCATTCCCTAGATTTTTTGGGAATAATGAAACTGTTTCGGTATTAACAGTGAAGTTTCCCCTTTTTAATGGAGTTGCAAGTGCCTTTCAATCTGGCCCAGTTTTCCCGAATCTGCCTTGTCCTGCTCTAGTATTTTGGGGTAGGAATTTCTCCCACAAATCCTTGAGCCTCCTGGCTCAGAAGGCTTCAGAACCAACAGGATTTCTTCGTGCTATACAGGGACAAGTCGAGTAGTTCGGCAACTCTGTTATATACATTTATCAATGGCGATCCCCAATTCGAGGAATTAGAGAGTTCCGCGCTTCCACATCCACGTCCACCTGCCCTCCTCTCACTTTGTCATACTCGTTGCATTAAAGCATGCGCTAAAAGCAACGGGAATTCCCTCTTTCCTCTTATATACCGAGCTTAAGGTCACCTTGTATTCAGTTATTCATCAGTGTGGTAGACAGTGTTGGATTTTCCTGTTTTCCGACGATTTTCTCCTCGAATCGACTCTGAACCGGCTTGTCAGTTTCAAGTTAGGTTCCTCATCCATTGAAGAAACTTTTCCCGAGAGTAAGTCGCATGTTTAACGCCTATTTATTGAATTTGCACACCTAAGGGGGCTGTTTGTGTTATCAAACAAACGAACGTGAAAAAATGCCCTCTTAACTCCCACGAATGGTGCCGCAGGTACCAATCTTTCCATTCTTGCGACCCAAAATTTGGCTTTGGGAGGAATTTTCTAGTGTTTGACCATCTACAAATGTTTTTTAATTTCTTCAAAACTTTTAGCACTTAACTAAAGAAATGCGCGCAAACAATTCGCGATAAAACTGTGATTTCTTGCAAAAACTCACCTATTTGCAATAATTCGCATCCTCTTTTCCCTTTTAAGTATTAAATTTAGTAGGTTCTTTGCACCGAAACATATTTTTCAATAAAAAAAATCTTGCGGATTTTACCTCGAATCGGTGGGCAGATGGGCGTGAAGGATACAAGAACGTCCTCTGTTTGACCTTTGGCAAATTGGTCCAGAGGCCGACTACTGGATCCGATCATATAAAAATTATTTTTAGATTTATAAAATATTGATGTTTGGCTCATTTGGTGTAAAAATAGACGCCAAATTGCCTGCACAAAGTTGGAATTATTCGCATTCTTAAGTGCAAATGAATGCAAAGTGCATTTTTAAATGCCTGCTTTTTTCTTCAGTCCCAATGCGCTCTTTCAATTAATAATTGCCCATTAATAACGGGGTTTTAATGAAAAATTAGCCACGGATAGAAGGTACTTAAACACTTTTTTTTGACGTCAATAAATGAGACTTTTAATTGGAGGTCGATCAGGCGCGTTAAATAAATTACTCACTTTTTATTGTGTATGCATTTTATCTCATTTGTTTTATCAGGATTTATCGCAAAAAATTCCGTAGAGTAAAATTTAGTTCCCAAATCCATTGCTACATCAAATGTAAAATGGACTAAAATCAGGGAAATTTCGATCACTCATGAGTGCTAATCAATTCGCTGGATATTTAGGAATTTTTCTTAGTCCAAGCCTGGAAATTTCCAAAATAATTTATCTCTTATTTGCGCCCACCCTGTCCAAAAATCTCATACATTTTTTAAATAGTAAAACACTCAATAAGTAAGCGGTGATAAATTGCCAATGACGCGTGTAAATATTCATTGAAAGTGCCCAACTTTGACCTAACTTTTATTATCAACTTATACACATTATCAAACAAATGAGCCGTTAAATTCAATTGCATTCAATGCTCTGTTTCGACACGATTTAGATAAATATTTGGAGTTTTAACCAGATAAAGTGTTGTTAATATTTGAAAAATATTTAATTTCATTAGCGAGTTGAATTTCTGAATCCAAAAGCTCATTTCTGAGAAAACAGTACTGAGAAAGTGATGTTTGCAAATGACGCTTGAATGTCAAAAGTATCCTCCCCAAGTATGTAGTATGAGTAAGATGGCTGTCACAATTTGGCAGCAAACGTCAACAGTTTGTCCCCGAAAACGGGCGTTTTTCTCGCAAAAATCATCCTACTGGGCCGGAAAATCTGATAAAACCAACAAAGGAAACTGTCTGATTGAGAAATTTCACAGATTTTCACCAAGCAACGAAAATTTCCATGCATTCGATGCCCATGACTTCTACTGACAGGTCGTGTATAGCGACTGGGCGTGGTTTCAGAGTTTGGAGGTAGACAATCTTGGAAAGTCAGGCGCGCCCAAAATCTACGAATTGAAGGTTTCTAATAAGGAGTTAAAAAATAATGAAAATATCGAAAGAAGAGAGAAATTAATTTTTGAAAATACCTATACTGGAACTGGAAACCTGACTGGGACGCGTGACAACAAATTTTTCCGAACAATAAAACTTTCGGAATATTGAGAGCGGAGTTTTTCACTTTTAATGAAGTTGCAAACGCGTTTCAGTCTGGCCAGGTTTGAGCAGAATTAATTCTTGAAAACACCCTTAACAACTGAAAATCTGGTAATCTTCAAATAGCTGCCAATATTTTCCAGATTTTTTTCCGATTAATAAAACTGTTATGGTTTTAACAGTGAAGTTTTCCCTTTTTAATTGAGTTTCAAGTGCCTTTGAATCTGGTCCAGTTTTCACGAATCTGCGCCTTTTCCTATTGTAGTATTTTGCGGTAAGAATTTCTTCACAAATTCCACAGCCATTGTCAGGCTCAGAAAACTCAGAACCAATACGTTCTGAATATTTTAATTCCTAAAAGAAACTAAAAAATTACTTTTTCTTCGCTCTTGCTCATTTTGCTTCCGAGAAATTAGCAAAAACGGGACGGAAAACACGAAATTTTGGCATAATATTTGCACCTAAGTGTTTGATATTCAAATTTCGCTTTCTGGGTTAAAATTTCTCGAATTTATTCACTCATGTTGTCATGATTCATTCGAGTTTTCAATTCTCTATCCAACGATGCCAAAACGAATTCTGTGGCTCGAATGGTTCTTGAGAAACTTCGAAAAAAGCAGCGTGCTGTTTGAGTCGATTTTGCAACCGAAAACAAAACAAAATCTAAAACTTCTTCAAATCAAGACTTTTTTGAGAAAACGGCAAACATTTCGTTATCGATGGTTGACTTTCTAAAAAGGCCATTTAGTTCTCTCGGGAATAATGTAAGAATGACCGTTCTTGCTGATTTTGCTTCAGGGAAATGAGCCAAAAAGGGGCCGGAAAACACGAAATTTTGGCATAATCTTTGCACCTAAGTGTCGGATATTCAAATTTCGCTTTCTGGGTCAAAACTGCTCGAATTTCTTTACTCATCTTGTTATGATTCAATCGAGTTTTCAATTTTCTACCCAACGATGCCAAAACGAATTCTGTGGCTCAAATGGTTGTTGAGAAAGTTCGAAAAAAGCAGCGTCCTGTTTGAGTCGATTTTGCAACCCAAAACAAAACGCAAATCTAAAACTCCTTGAAATCAAGACTTTTTTGAGAAAACGGCAAACACTTCGTTATCGATGGTTGACTTTCTAAAAAGGCCATTTAGTTCTCTCTGGAATGATGTCAGAATGACCGTTCTTGCCCATTTCGCTTCAGGGAAATGAGCCAAAAAGGGGCCGGAAAACACGAAATTTTGGCATAATCTTTGCACCTAAGTGTTGGATATTCAAATTTTCCTTTCTGGGTCAAAACTACTCGAATTTCCTCACTCATGTTGTTATGACTGAATCAAATTTTGCAATTTTGCACAAATGCAGAAATGTACAGATACTGTTTTCGGTCAAAAATGTTGGTTGAAGCGGGTCAATAGATTCTCTAAAAGAGGGACAAAGTGGGCATCAACAACCTGCAACAATATTGCTTCTGGTTTTGGCGTGTTTGACGAATAATTATGGAGTTTAAAAAAATAAAAAAATTAAACCTGTTTTTAAGTTTGGATGGAAAAACTGCCCCGGATAAATACTACGGTTTATTATTGTCTGGCGCTCGTTTGATGTTGATTTAAAAGTGTGCCAATTGGCAAAAAAATGTACCATTCAGCTACAAATAATGTTAATCAGCCTGGACGTTGAACTGCGGTTTAAATTTAAAATTTGCCGCAAAATTGCGCCAAAAATTATCTGATCGAACGGTTCACTCCTCCATCTAGAACATTGACTTTGCTTATTTACGATGAGCTGCTAGTGTAAATAAAACAGCAGCTGATACTTTATTTGCGCTCATTAACGCATTGTCGCGTTTTTAGGAAGGTTTTAAAATTGCAATCAAGATGGTTAATACCAAAGAGGCGCTTTTGTCGATGATCTCGCAGCCCGCTGAAGATTCCGGCAGTAAAGTCACAGTGGTGGGCGTGGGCCAAGTCGGAATGGCCTGTGCCTTCAGCATCCTGTCGCAGGTAAATTGCGTTAAAAAAGTTGAGAAAACTGATTTTCCAGCCAATTACAGGGAGTATCCAGTGAAGTTGTATTAGTGGACGTGGTTGCCGACAAGCTAAAAGGGGAAATGATGGATCTTCAGCACGGCGCCTTGTTTCTGAAGAATGCCAAGATTGTGGCTGATACTGATTACGCCGTCACTGCTGGATCCAAACTTTGCATTATCACAGCTGGTGAGAATTCGCGATTTGCGCCCCCAAGCCATCCATGTCTTAACCTCGGGTCTTTGGTGGAAATTCTGCAGGAGTGCGTCAAAAGGAAGGGGAGTCTCGTCTGGATCTGGTGCAGCGCAACACGGACGTTTTAAAGCACATCGTGCCCAAGCTGGTCCAGTATTCTCCAGACACCATTCTGCTGGTGGTCAGCAATCCAGTGGACATCCTCACCTACGTGGCGTGGAAACTCAGCGGTCTGCCCAAGAACCGAGTAATTGGATCTGGCACCAACTTGGACACATCCAGGTTCAGATTTCTGATCTCTCAGAAACTGGGAGTTGCGCCCAGCAGTGTTCATGGCTGGATTATTGGGGAACATGGCGACTCCAGTGGTATGTTTCCAATCATTTCTTCGCCTTGCCAGGTTCTAATCGCACTCCATTGGGTTGCAGTGGCGATTTGGTCGGGCGTGAATGTTGCAGGAGTGCGGCTCCGGGAAATTAACGCCGCAGTTGGCACTGAAAGCGACCCAGAAAACTGGAAGGACATTCACAAGCAGGTCATCATGTCCGCTTACGATGTGATCAAACTCAAAGGATACACTTCATGGGCGATCGGGTTGAGTGTTGCCTCATTGGCCTCCAGCATTTTGAGGAACTCCAATAATGTTCATGCAGTTTCCACTTACGTTAAGGTATGTACTTTTGGGTTGTTCAGTACTAATTGGCTGGATGCTTGCTTTATACAGGGTTATTCACGCTATACGGCACGGACGTTTGCGGCTAGCCCGTTTGTTTTTTGCAAAGTATTATTTGATGAATCCACAGACGCTTATCG